CCCTTCGGTGTTGGTTCAACGTACTGCTTATCCGTTTCTTCCCTGCTCCTCCTGTCCCTGTGGGCAGGGGCTTCTGCTCCAGGTTCTGTGAGCCATTTTCAGGGCTAGAGTATCCACAGGGACATGAAGGCCGATCAAAGAGCCCTGCTTCTGGGCTTCCCTGGTGGCGCAGTGGTAGAGGGTCCGCCTGCCGATGCAGGGGACACGGGTTCGTGCCCCGGTCCGGGAAGATCCCACATGCCGCGGAGCGGCTGGGCCCGCGAGCCATGGCCGCTGAGCCTTCGCGTCCGGAGCCTGTGCTCCGCGACGGGAGAGGCCACAGCAGTGAGAGGCCCGCGTACCACCAAAAAAAAGAGCCTTGCTTCACTTATAAACAGCTTCATTCATAATTTTTAAAATGAAGATTAAAACATCCATTAGATTGGCAAGGATTGATGAATTTGTTATGAACCAGATGTGGGGAAACGTGCACATTGAGGGGGGAGCTAAAATGGAAGACTGGAAATTCCCTCCTAGGAAGGAAACGTGACACTATGGCTCATAAGTGCCCATACTGTGGAGCGTAGTTAGAGAAGGGGTCCATACCATATGTGCTAATATGGAAATGTCTGTATTTGATAAATGAAAAAAAGGAAGTCAAAGAGTAATATGAACAGTGAAAATATAAGAAGGGGATTAGGTTACAGTCACGTGCATGGGAAGTTTGCAGAAGGTATACAAGAGCCGCCGCCTAGACTCTGCAGTCTCCCATCAGAGCGTTCCTCGAGCTCAGCCCTGTCTCTCCCAGAAGGAGGCCCAAGTGTCAGCTACAGATCACAGGCCCAGGGCAGAATTTTCCACCTCAAGGAGGAGAGAAGAAACAAACTAAGGGCAGATTCCTCTCGTGGGTCTGTCTCTTCACACCACCAGGAGAGCATGGCCTCCAGCAGACTTGGACGCACACCCTTCACTGCTAGTCAGCTCACCTCACGGGAGCTGAGAGGCCCGTTGATTTAATATGCAGAGACACTAAGCGCTAAATGATTACCTAGACCACAGCCCCGGGTCACCTTGTTCTAGTTTTTAAAATCAAGATTTAAAAAGAACCACAATTGACATCATTAATACAAGCAATTCCAACTCGTCGTGCGGTGAACGGAGGCGGCAAAGGCAGTTGAGTTGAGGGATTGAGTTGAGGGATTGAGGGCAGGTAGGAAGACGTCCAGAAAGCATCTCTTTATGTACATATATTTATATTTGTATTTATAATCATTTATTTCGACTTTTTTTCCTCAGGAGCGAGGGGTTCAGTGGGTCCGTTGAGAAGGGGGTCAGATCAGAAGGGGGCAGGCTGCTCTGGGATGTCTGTGGTCTCCATTTCATAAGTGCACTTTCTGTCAAAAAAGGCCTTCCCCTTCAAGGCCTCTATGAGCTGCTGTAGTCGCTTGGCAAAAGAAAGTGCTTGGGGAGGTTTAGTGGAAGGTGGCGGTGGGGGAGGGGGGGGCAGTGGAGCTGCGGGGTGGGGGCGGGCCACTGCAGCGGGGCTCTGGGAGGGAGGTGGTCGAGGAGGGTGTTGGAAGTACCAAGGTGGGCGAATAGAAGGCTGAGTGGAGGCGGGTTTAGCGGGGGGTGCTGGAGTAGGAGGAGGGGGAGGGGTAGGCAACTGAATCATGTGCAAAGCGTTAGAACCAATCTTGGAAGCAATCCAGTTCAGATAGGACCAGGTAGACGTGTAGACTCCGGGGCGCTTAGCTCGGGCACAGCCTACCCCCCAGCTTGTGATTCCCACGACCACGTAGCTGTTTTCCACGCTCTCTCTGCACATGAGAGGCCCGCCGCTGTCCCCCTGCCCAGAGGACACAGAAGTCACTCTCTGCCGGACCCACTTTCCCCGCCCAGAAGGGTCATAGACTCTGGGAGGCATTTTTGCAGTCGTATGGTTCCCTGCTGCCATAAACACAGGCGGTTGTGGTAAAGTTGAGGTGCACCAATAGCTTCTCTGGGATGTGAGAAGGGTGTGGATTGTCATGGGTTTCCTCGCAGTGAGGGGGCAGGATGAGCAAACCCACGTGCCTGTGCACGTGGTTTTACGTGCGTACGTGAGCATGTGTGTACAAGTGGATTTGACTGTTTTGCATTGTGGTGAAGAGAGGTAAGCGTCCTCTTTGGAGCAATGTTTGGATCATATGATCTCTGCGTTAGGGTGGGATAAAGTTCTACAAATGGTGATTGATTCTTTGTAGGGGCAGCTGGTGGGTGTCACCTCCCAAGCTCACTGTGACTGCAGATGCTGGAAGACGGGACCGGGGAAATTTGCTCAGGGATCCAAAAAAGAGGTGTCCGCAAGGGCCTGGGCACCCAAAGGAGAGTTACCTGGCAGGTGTCAATCTGGCCTTCAGGATACCCTGCGCACACATTGGTTGAACGAATGCGCCCATTGTACCAGCTGGTCGAGTTACATAAGTCGAGGTCGATGATGTCCACGCGTGCCTCCTGCAGTATAGGTGATATCCTGGGGGCTACAGCCAGGCGACTCAGTGGTCAGTGATCACAGAAGACGTGTTCTGGGAAAGCCTTCCTCCCTCCACTAAAACCCCATCGTCCTGAATGCCCTGTTTAAACCTGAGATCCATGCAAGTCAATGCCCCCGGCCTCTCCTTACCCACTCCTGAAGGGAAGAACACACGCAGCTGGAAGAGCAGAGGAGAGACGGGAGATGGAGGTGGAGGAGAGAGGAAGCAGGTGCACGTGGGCAGACGGCAGGTGGAGGGTGGATGGGTACAGCTGGAGCATCGTGTACATTAATGGTAGATGATGGCTTACCGCGGGGATGTTAACAATTATACTGAGGATGCGCTGAGCACTCACTATGAATCACACAGGGTCCGTCCCATTCACTCCTCACAGCCGCCTCAGGAGTTAGGAATGGTTATTCCCCTTTTCTCCCATCAGGAGATTGGAGCACCACTTGCCAAGGTCACGGCAGGGACCTGGTGCGGCTTGGATTCACACCCAGGTTTTCCTCTCTAGACTCAAGTCCAGGCCACGCCTTTCGTTCTGGCTGTAGGTCACCCCCTTGCTTTTTATCCTCCACCCAGTTGTGGACGGGACCCGCTGGACTTGGTCTGATGAGTCCCTCCCCATGTGCCTCGTATCTGTTTTGAGATGTGGAGAGAGCAGGGCTATGCAGGGCCTCCACACACAGGCAGACCTGTCAGGGGCACGGGTGGTTGAAATGACCCCTGAGGCCACGTCAGAACTTCCTTTATTGCCTCAGATGCTCGGCCATGACCAGGGGTTAAGAAAGGCCCAGCCTGTGCTGGGGCCGGAGCAGCCAGCTCCATTGCCTCTGGCTTGGAGCCCAAGAGCCCACGCGACCGCCCCTCTGCATCACGTGGTCCCACAGACAGGAGGGTTCCACTGGCCCTGCCACAGCAGCACCCACAGCCCAGCCACAGCCCAGTGGGCTTGAACGTCGCCTGCAGTACAGATGGGAGTTGCCAGATCAGACCTGTCGGAGGGGCAGACCCGGAGCATATGGCTCTGAAGGCCGAGACTGGAAGGCAGGCGCCCCGTGGAGCGCTGTGGGTGGGGCAGGCACAGGCAGCATTCAGTAGAGGGCTGCTGAATGCATGTTTGCGTGGCTTTGGTTACACCTCCAATCTCCTTAGCCCCCACCTTTCCTTCCCATCCAAGCAGCAATGAGGGTTTTGTACACACACTGTCCTTCGGGTAGGGGAACACGGAAACAACAATGGCAAGCCTGGCTTGTTGGCCGTTAAGGTGACCTTTTAAATCTATGGCAGAGCCCACAGTCTTGAAAGCCATGAGATTCACTGTTAAGAGCCAGGTGTCCTGAAACACAGAAGAGTTTTCTCAGTCCCAGCACCTTGGCTTTAAACATCAAATGCCAAAAAAGCCTGCAGGAGCTAAAAATTCAATGGAAAAAGAGGCCGATTCCCAAAAGTGCTCTTCCAGCCCCAAAGCATCTGAGTTCAAGGAACAGGTAGGTCAAGGAAAAGAAAGGTCAGAAGGAATATCACAGGAGGCTGGGGGTTTCTTTAAGACTTGGCCTTAAAGGTGGGGGATGTGCTTGCACCAAAAAAAAAAGATAGAAGTCTCATTAAATTTAAGGTGATTCTAGAACAAAATAGGTCTTGCATGACGTCCAGGGTATAGGTGGGAGCCCACAGTTCTCCTGAGCAAAAGGACAGCAGAGGTGGGGTTGGCGGGCGGGGAGGTGGGGGCGGTCACCGGATGGAAATCCTGAGATCAGTCTCCCAGGGACTGCACGAACCCGCAAAAGAACCCCCGTCGGACGGGTGGGCAGAGCAGGGCAGGCCAGGGGATGAGAAAAGAAGAAAGTGTGTACTTGCTCTAGAGATGACGGCAGAGCCACGGACACCAACAGCCGGACAGGGATTGACACCCCAGGCCAGGGAGGAAAGGTTATGAGTCAGCAAAGGCCAGTGAAAGCACAGGGGGCTGGGAGGAGATGCCCTTCCCCGAGGGACAGCATAGGCGGCAATCCTATCAGAAACTAAGATCAAACTTTGAGAGAGAAGACGGGTTGAGGGGAGAATCCAAAATTACCGATTTTTGTTACCAAAAACAGAAGAAAATACTGAGTTTTAAACCCCAAATGATTGAACTGCCTTGAATTAGGAATCCCAGATTTTCCACTATCAATGAACAAGAGAGATTGAAAGCTAAGTTAATTTCAATCATATCTTCACATCCCTAATGTGACTCACGCACCCACCTACGGAAAGCTGAACGGGCAGCTCACGAGCAGAGGCCTGTCCTACTCCGTCTTGCCCCGCTAGCAGAAACTTGCTGCCCATTGCTGACCCGCAGAAAGCCACACCCACCACCAGCCCCTCTCCTGGTCTCCAGAGGACACGCGCAGTAACGGCTGGGCAGGATGGGCTGCTGGGAAGCATGTGGAGCAGAGGTGGCACTAGGACAGAAGGGCCGGGCTCAGGAGTCACAGAGCTTGGAGACCACGTGACCTGGCCCTTCCATATACAGATGGGGAAACCGGCACAGAGAGGGAAGCTCAGTCTAAAGCCCTTCTCCAAGTGCTGCTTCGGGGCCCGTCCCCCACTTCCAGAACTCACCCCGGGGCTCCAGGCACAGCCTCGACCCCATGCTAAAGACACCAAGGTTCTCCTCGCACCTGCTATCTGCCTCTCCCTGGGGGGCACACCAGCCGCCAGTGAGGGGCCCTGGACAGGGAACTCTACTCTGTTTCTCTGGCTGGGAAAGGGGACAGTGACCGGACCCGCTCACAGCACCGTGCTGGGGACTGGGTGGGGCTAGGGCAGGCGTCCACATATTTCCCTTCACCTCAAGGACCACCAAGGGGGTGAGCAGCACCTCTCCCGGCCAGAACTCACCGCTGTCTTTTAAGAACCCCCAGCCAGCCACCCAGCATGTCTGGGGGATTCTGGGTGGGCCTGCCCGAAATTGGGGCAGGCAGCCTGGTCCAATGAAGTGCCCACAGGGAACAGGAGGGGTGATCTTCATGAGAGCGATGTCGTTGGCCTCTGAGCCCGGGGAGTATTTCTCGTGAATGATGATTTTCTCAGCGTATCTCTCCTGCAGAGGAGGCTTCACTGGCTTATTGCTTCCCCACACGACTTCCTTTGCTCCGAAAATCAGCCTCCAGTCGGTAACTTTGCTGTGGGCACAGAGGTAAGCCAGGTCACCCTCACTGTGGACTGGCTGGTGACCGTTACCCTTGGAGCACCCCATCCCCAGCGGGTGTGGGTCAACCACACTGGGCCCAAAGCATCAGGTTTCCCCGGCACACAGACCCTTGGAGAATGCCCAGCTCTGAGAAGAGCCTTTCTGAAGACCCCCTCCACGTGTTCCCACACATACGTTTTGCTCCGGAAGCAGTGAGCAGCAGTGAGTAGCCAGTGGGCGTTCAGCAAGGTGCCCCCGCACACGTGATACCGCCGATTGTTGTGGTACATGAGGACCTGGAGGCTGACCATCCAGGGCCAGGCCCCGAGCGCTGCGGGCTGCCCACCGATGATACGCATGCCCCCTTGCTGGTTCTGCCTGAACCGTAGCCCGCAGGGGCCACTGAGGAGAGACCATGGGCACAGTTCGAATCAAGAATAGGCCAGCCTGTCCTCGTGCCTCCACAACTGGGGGACAGGGGCATGGGGCTGGTCACAGTGGGGAAGAGTTGTGGGGTCCTGGGAAAGCAGGGCCAGCTCGAGGGTTTGGGATCCAGGGGGACGGCTGAGCAGTGGTGCTGTGGCAGCTGTGATGAGACAGGAAGCCACGGGCTCCAGGAAATATTCCAGGGGTGGCATTTCTTGGGTGTCGTGAGTGTGGTCACAAGGTGGGGACAGAGGGGGCCATGGGTAGCTAGGACAGACTGTGAGGGCCCTAGGAGTTTGGGAGATCCCTGATCAGAGGGGGAGGCTAGAGGTGGGAGCGGAGGGGGGTACTCTTGTGTGGGAGACTCCGGGAAGAGCCAGCGGGTCCTGGGGCTGCAGGGTTGGGCTGGACAGTGGTAGGAGGAAAGCAGCCGCACGTAGGCAAAGTGACCCGGGGGGGGGGGGGGC